ACGACTTAGTCATCTCGTTCCCACGACTTAATTATCTCGTGGCCACGACTTAGTAACTCGTGGCCACAACATAGTATCTTGTTCCCACGACTTAACTATCATGGCCACGACTGATTAACCCGTGGCCACGACACAGTATCTCGTGCGCACGAAATAAATAAAAACACACACATAGTATATCTTAAAATTCACTTTCACTATTGCTCATACGACTATCACATACGCTCAAAAAGAAGTGTAAACAATTGTATATAAGAGGTGAGTTGCCACTTGTAGGATGAGTTATTAGAGATATATATAACATTTTTTTCCACATGCTGGCGAAATCTTCAAAAACACGCACTTTTCGTCTGTCGCATCGTGTTCTCTTGTTTTTCATTAAATTTTCCCTTTACATGTCCAGACTCCAACTAACACTGTTCTGTATACGCCCCTGTATACGGGAGCCAAAATACGGGATCATCCGGAAAATAACGGGATGTACCGACAAAGCGACACCTGCTGTCATAATATGAACACAAATTATTACAACTCGCATTATGCTTACTGTCAACTGCTTAGTGCGTACTGTCACATGCGACTATAATATCGCTATCGTTGTCATCTTCGTTGTCGATGCGCAGTGATTATGTATTACATTATATTTGTAATCAGTGAATATATTAAAGCATATGAATGCTAAGACACATCAAATTCGCCAATTATTGATCAAAATTAATAATTTATTGTGACATAATGTCGACAATATAAGTGGCAGATTTATAGCAAATTAAAGGTACTGACATAAACTTACCATGTTACATATAGTTTTATCAAGAACAAGCACAGAATGTTATCTTAAACACCAAACATAATACGTTGTCCTTAATAAAAGATGCAATTTAACATATAGCATATTGAAATATGTGAGTTTGATGGTTTAGTAGGAACAAAAAAGTTTGCAATTACATGAAAATGCATTCAGTAATCATAAGGCATGATTGAATTCAGCAAAACGCAGGTTTTCATTGTCATAAAGAAGAATAGAAGCAAGCATAATGTAAGTTCCGATATCATAAAGCAAGATGGAATAAATGCACTAATTCTGTTCCATAGACAAATGTCTGTTATTTATCGTGTTATCAGGAAAACGAATAAGTTAGATAATTTTATGGTTAACTGTTGACAGAAATGTGCACCATATCAAATACATAATTTTGTTAGCCATAACATCAGATTGTATATTTTGTATAAACAATGTAGTAAACTTTAATCATGACATTTTCTGTGTCATTAATTCTTTACAACTTATAAAAACATAGTGATTTATAATAGAAATATTATCAAGGACATTTTTATGCAGTTTTCACATTTCAATATTTCGATCACGTAAGTAATATGATAATATTCTTTTACATGAATGCAAAATATATGCGAAAATAATATAGATAAATACACACTACTTTTATGGGAACTTATAACAAGGAAGTTTTATAAAACAACTTAATCAAGTTTAAATATTTCAAAAATGTGCGTGACTTTGAGATTGAATTTGATTTTGGTTTTGCTTGCAGGTAAGAAACCATCTTTTATAAAGATAATATAAAATTTATTTATATATACAAGAAATGCTTAATAAGTCCTGTTTAATATTCCTAATTATGTTAAATGAGCAAAAGAAACTGGGTAATACAAAAAGGCAAAGTTAAGCATGTAGTTTAAGTACTTGTAAACAATTTTAACAATGATTATTATTGTACCTTGAAAGAAAGGAATTTAATTTAGTTGTATTGTCAAATAGTCGAAATATTGTTCTTTATTAACTATATTATATCAAGTAAAACACATTCAAAAAACCAACTAGGATGATGATTTTCCGACATGACTAGGTTTAATTTCCTATAAAGGTACCCAAATGTAGTGCCATGTGTTTACTTACGGTTTTATGTAAATAGCCAATATAAATTTATTAAGGTTATAGTAGATATGAATAAGGCTCTTAAAACAACTTAAAGCAGCCTCCAGATGAGCGAAAATATTTCAATAACTCAAAACTTGTGAAAAATTTACTAAGATTTTATGCAAAGTAGAAAGATTAAATATTCATGTAATAATTTACGTGTTATCAGCGATTAATGGTGAATGTTCATTATATGTTACAGTTATAGTACATAAAAATAATTAGTTACGAGGATATAACACTGGCTGGGGCGACATCAAGGGATGCTTCTGCTAAAAAAACCGAGGCCGTAAGGCCGAAACAATTTTTTGCAGAAACATCCCGAGACCAGCCCAGCCAGTGTTATATCCTCGTAACTAACGAGTTTCATATACTATAACTGTTTTATCGCAATGGCATAATGTTATCTTTTTTGTCATAGAAATAAGTAAATAAATAAATAAATAAAAATAAATAAATCGTTAGCTACATTACAGTTATTTATGATAAAGCAGTTTTTTCAAGTTGTTTTCGCTGCCGAAAAAAGAAATATATACAAAAGACATCCACTGTTAGAGGCGGATTGTAAACTGTTACCAATATTAATTAAAGATTAAAGGGCTTTTCAGTTTCAGTTGAAATAATTCATTCAGCGGATGTACTTTTTGATTAAATGAGAGTAAATTTCATTTAATTAATTATCTTTGTTTACATTTTTCATTGTATTCATCTATTTAATTTATTTTATTGATTCCATTTTTTTTTTGCTACTGGGAATGATCGTTACCACTGCTCTATTGGAGCCTCTATGAAAAAAACTACATTGATATATACACGGTGCGAACAAAACTGTATTGTTATATAGCAGTCGAGTTTTTTTCTATATGAATCAATGAAAAAACTGTAATGTTATATATCAATACAGTTTTCAAATGCTCATTGAAGTGTACTAAGTATAATAGATAAGTAAGAACAAAACCATGCGATAAGTACATGAAGTAACTAGATTTCTACCGCGTTACTACCGCAGTAAGGGCATTTTTTGCATATTTTGACCTCTTCTTGTCATAAGCATGGGTTGTAAGTGCAATTGCTAACGTGTAAAATTATTCCTTTTGGCTACTATACAACAATATATATTTGATTTCATTTTCAGTTTAGAATCTGTTTAAACCATTTGACTTATCCTTCTAAGATGCAAAACAATGGTGATCATCTTCACTTAAATAGTAAATAAATATCATTATGCTTGTTATTACTGTGAAGTGGTTGATGGCTTGTTCACTTTTTTAACTTCCTTGAATGATACTGTATATAATTTAAAACACTATTTTTATATTATCTTATTACATCATTGTTTTTGATATTTTTTTTTATTTAAACACTTTCGGTCATACGTTAATAACATTTGTCAATTATGATGACATACTAATGATACGTTTGAGCTGCATTCGTTGGTTTTCATGAATTGAACTTTATTTGTAGTTTCTGCGTAATTCTGCTTCTTAGTATTGAGTCGATATTTTTCCCTAACATGATGTTAATTAGCGTTCGACATTTTTTTTAAAGCATTTTGTAGAAAAACTGACTATATTTTAAGATTTGCGAATTGTTATTTATAAGTGAGAATCGAAATCAAGACGTCATTTTAACCCATTACCCGATATACACGCCTTTCAACGCCTTGTTCACCCCCTATTTGTTGTCTCAATTGGTGAAAAAATGACTTATTTAGGCCCCTAACACTTGTTTTTGTTTGAGAAATGTTGCCCCCCCCCCCCATCCAAAATATACATCAGGGGGTTGCCTGAAGGGAGATGTGCCCCTTTTGGGAGAGGCTAAAAATGACCCCAGGTCGATCATAAGGTAACGTGTAATCAACTCTGAAAAGCATTTTACTCTATCTCAATTCATTGAGAAGTTGCAGCACTTTGAAATCAATTTTGATGGAAAACAATCAACGCAAAATAGTTATTTTTGGCAATTTTGAGATGTCCCCTTGTTGCTATGGTAACAGGAAAGAAAAAGACTGAGCATGTTGTTACAAAGGCGATGGTCCAGTCAACATGTGTGCCATGTTTGATTAGTATTAAAGCAGTTTTTATAGTTTTATAGCTATTTGAACTTGTAACTGGAGACGTTTCAATGAAAACAGCCATTTGTCACAAAATGCTCATGAAGTAAGGGGTTAAATGAAATTAAAAAATATTATTTATAAAATCAGTTAAAAGTAAGGGAGACATTTTTGTAGTAAAATATTTATTGATGTTTAAATGGATTTTGTGCACACAATTTAAGCTGCCTTACATGTATTTGTTTTTTTATTTCGTCTTAGTTTTACACTTACTTGTTAGATTAAATTATTTTGTTTTTACCTGCTCTCTTAGTTATTGGGGAGGGCATAATGTCACTTTACGTTTTCGGTATTTAGGTAAATTATATTGAGGCTGCGTGCCATTGTTGACAGATTCAAGTACTTCACACTACACTTGCCGCACCTAATATTATATAACAAAAAAATGATAATGGATTCATTTTCAGGAAAGGATCAATACATTACGAAATGAATATCCTAGAGTGTTGTTACCTTTTGATATTGGTACTCATGTCTCATGAAAATATTCAAACAGATGACCATTATCTTTATTAAGTAATTTTAAATTACCTTATTTTTTTTATAATTTAACAAACGTGCACAAATCTTTAAAAATGAACTAATCTAACGGTAAAGACTAATAGATCTCCTTTGGTTTTGTTCCAAATTTGTCTTTATCCTAAGTTACGCAAAGCATTACGGATATGATCAGTTTATTTATCAGAAATATATTCATTTAATAAAATCATGTCGCAATAAAACTCCAAAATGTTAAATGTGTTTATTGTTCAAAGAAGGAGTTTTACCTTTAGTTTATAACGTTTTTGGTGCTAATTTTATTATGGCAGATTTTTGTTGCATCTTGTTGGATCTTCTTGTAAATATTTCCGCGAAAAATCCATGTTTTTTTATTCTGGTCGTTTTTTAATATATTGCATGTGTCTTATTGTTTGCATTGTTATCTCATTGGATGCTTACGTTTTATAGGTGTAATAACAGATATAATACAGCTTACACCCACTCAGTTATATGCCAACGAAAATTCCAGTGCTACACTCACATGTTCAAGGACGGACGGACAATCTGTTTCAGAAACAATTTGGAAAAATTCTCAGATCGCTGGAGACGCAAATCTATATAACTTTAATAGACAATGTATAACATCTCGGTTTCTAAAAGACAGTGATTTATTTGGTGGGCTGTGTAATGGTGATGGAACATTTTCCGTGATTCTAAAGAAAATTGACCGTACTCAACATGGAGCTGAATGGACATGTGAAGAACTTATTTTAAAATCAAATAAAGTCGTTTTACAAGTATCAGGTAAATAATAATAATAATAATAATAATAATAATAATAATAATAATTATAATAACAACAACAACACCAACAACAATAATATTAATTATACTAATAATAATATAATATTGTTTTATATCTGATAAGGTGAAGCTTTTCTAAAACATTGATCGATTGTCATGCAACTATTAGGATCTGTATGTACGTAGTAATTAACAAATATGATTTCCAAAATTATCTATAATTATTGCATAAACACTAAGCGCGTAGGTGAGTACATGAACCGAGAGGAAAACATGCATTAACGGATAGATTCTTGTGACCACGTGTCGTTGTTGCAAGGTTTTCAATATGCGTGAATCAGTGCGCAAGGAAGAAACAGCTTCACATAATGACAGCCCCAGTAGTTTTATTATCTAAGCAAAACTATAAAATGACAGCGTACTAGGGAATGCATGGCACAAGCAATGAAACACAGATACCGAAACGTAAAATAAACTTATAGTATTAAGACATACTTTTATGCAAAAATGGCGCTAATGCATACTGTTAGTGTATTACCATATGGAGAAGCCCTCTTACTAATTAAAAAGCTCACCCTGCAGATTCGCGGTTTAAATGCTTCCTCGTGCTTCTGCAGATATAGAAGTACGAAGAAAGGTACACTTACTTCTAATATATAACTAATGTCTCCATGTTGTATGACACATATGACTTTCATGAGACAGTTTGATGTTTTATATTTTAAGACGTAGCATTGTTAATCAATGGCTTAAAGGAACAGTCAAATAACCTCTTTTGTATCAAATCAAAGTAGTCAAATAATGGTTTCAAAATTATTTTTTTATCTGTCATTTTATAAAGAAATATATTAGGTTAATCATTTGCATCTAGTATATGAATATAACATTAAAGTAATTTCATTTAATACTTTTATGAATTTTATTATGTAACAGTTCCTGCCACAAGCGTTACTTTGAGTCAATCAAATGGGAATTTCATGAAAGAAAATACAACAGAAAAATTCATTTGCAAAGCATCAGCATGTCGACCAGAACCACAAGTACAATGGTATCTCCGTAACAGTACGGGGCATGTTATGCAAACCCTTACACAATCATCAACCCACACATACATTAATGGTGAATATGGTCTCAAAGCCGTTGAAAGTATTCTACGATTCAGTCCAAATAGGACAAATAACAACTTACGTCTGTATTGTGAAGTGAGGACTCGAGCTGATGAAGTTGATATAAGGAGCAGAGAAATCATTGTTAATGTTACATGTAAGTCCGCAGTTTTGGTTTTAATATCATGTGAACGGCGTTTATATTTCTATTTTTTTGAAGTTTTAAACAAAACAGTAACTCGCATCCTGACTATGCTGAGCGATCATTAATACCCTTAAAGAAATTAGTAGACAAAATCGATTGCCATTCTGGTATTCCCATTCTTATTTAATCGTTAGTATTATTATTTAATGTGAAAACACATATGTCGATGTTCTGTCTTGGAATTTAAGATTGCCATTGTACGTTTCTAATACATATTATCTAATACACTTAAAAAAGACATTTTCCATTCAATGAAAGTTATTCTTAGAACGTTCAAGGACTCACAGACGCGTGCATTGACATAAAAAGTTTGACCTTGAATTTGGAACTCCAACTACATAATTATACACTATAAAACATGCTGAGAAATTTAAATAATGATTTCAATTAAGGTTTCTAATCCGGCAAAATAGCTTACATCAGCTTGATACAATGCATACACGTTTATTCAGAAAATTATGAAACTTTTAATGAATGCAATAAAAAGAGCGTTGTCCATTCGTCTCCGGTCGTCAATACGTCAGATTAATTACCTGCACACGGGCAAAAAGATTGAAATGAAACTGAATTGTGCATGTTTGATTAAATCATCATCATCAACATTTTTGTTATTGGGTTTTGGCTCCTTTGTTTGCCTCAAAGTAACTATGCATTTTAGAGGAAAATTTTCATCCACAACTTTGTTTCGGGAAATGCTTAATCATGAGCTTTGTATAAGATAAAATACTAATTATAATTTTATTAATAACTTTTTAAATGACAAACATGCGGTGTTTTCATTTATACCTTGAAATTTAGGTATTTTACTAGTAATTTTTCTGAAGACAGTCTTTTTGTCTGTGCACTATAGTTCTACTACCTTGCAAGATTGTGATTACAGTATAATATAGCTGTAACAAAATCCATCATTGACTGTTATGATCTTTATTGATTCTACAATATACATTGTGTAAAGCCAAATTCTGGAAGCAAAGTGAAGATTTGTTTGGCATAGATAGGCATATAAGGTCATAGAAATTACAATGTATATAAAACCGTTCATAATTTGGGTAACTGAGAAAGTCTTAAAACAAATCAAAACAAGTAACATATATAAAAGTAACGTTTGTCTTTTTTCAGACCCCCCTGATAATTCACCAGTGATACAAGAATTTGATACTAGCAAAATTATACAGGCCATTGAGTCTGATACAGGCACATTTGTTTGCTCGATTTCGGGGGGAAACCCACTAGCATCATTGAGCTGGAACTGTTTCGACAGTCATGACTTAACATCAAGTACCCAAGATGGTATCGTAACAAACACAGTTAAATGGACGGCATGGCGCAGTTATAACACATGCTCCTGTACGTCGAATCACGTATTAAGTAAATGGAAAAGAACAACAAATGTTACAGTTAATGTACAATGTAAGTTTAAGTTAAAATTCCCTTGTGTGTGTCATAAGTTAATTCAAAAAGGCTGACATCTTATCCATTAAAAGCAACACATTGACTGTTTAAACAAATAGACATGTGACATTGATATAAGTTATCATAAATAGTTCAATTAAATTTCAAATCTTACGATTAACTGCATTGTTCTTTAATTATTAATTTTCTGTGTGTGTTCAATTTATTGAACATTTACTGCTTGATACTTTGCAATTATTGTAAAAATGATTTAGAAATAGTGGTTATTTCAAAAATAGTTTCAATCTCAAAAAAGTAAATAAAATCAACTCAAAAGTATTCTTCTCTTAATAATCTAGCTGTTGTTTTTAAGTTCCTCCAAGCAAACCACATTTAAAAATTGGACAAACAGATGTATTTGGCGGTGTTCGTGTTATAGAAAACAACACATTGCGAGTTGCTTGCAACAGTGAAAGCAATCCTTTATCAAACTACACATGGACTGGTCCTGGTTTTTCTGGCAAAGGCGACACGTTAGAAATAACAAGCGTTAAACTAAGCAATCAGGGGAATTATAAATGCATGGCGTCAAATAGGATGATAAGGACGAATGGTTCATATGAAGACGGGAGTAATTCATCATCACTCATTCTAACAATATTGTGTAAGTACATTGTACAGTAAATCAAACCAAAAAAGATTAATTTGTTCACAGATAATGTTTTAATATCAAATCATTTAATTTGCCTTTATATTGTGTCACGTTTCACAAAATATGTTACAATTTTGATCATTTCAGATCCTCCAAGCAATCCAAAATTTAAATTTGAAAACTCAAGCGGTCCGCTCATTCAATCAAACATATTTTACGTAGTGAGAAACGATACGTTTTCACTTTATTGCGATGTAAAAGGGAATCCTGTTCCTGACATCAAATGGGATGATAACAAAAGCAATCCGAGTTTGAGTATATCTAACATCAATTTGGACATAAATAGTACATGCAGAGCAACAAACTTGATGAAAGAAACTGCAAGTCAAAAAGAAATAATTTCAAAGTCGGAAGCATCATTTTCAATTATTGTCTTTTGTAAGTTTATATTTACAATTTCTTAGCTAACGTAAGCACATAATTGATTATAATATTTGAAAGAAAAGTATTGTTATCACACATTAAAGCATTCAGATTTGATAGTGTTAGTCTCGTGACAAAATATCTTTGCCATTTTTACTTTATATTTATTTCATTCAAAGGTGAAGTGTTACAGAGGCTCAATACTCGCAACAAATTCATTCAAAGTATTTTATGTCAGTTTTAGATTTATCTCATTACGTTACATTTTATAATTTGTACTCAAGATCCTCCACGGGTCCCTACAATACACGTTGCAAATTATAATGGCGACAGCGTTCAGGTTACAAATGGAAACGTCAGTGTTATTGAATCAGAAACAATCAATGTGACATGTTTTTCGACAAGTAAACCAACGCCTACATACGAATGGATACATGAGCAATATATGAAAACACAGTCGACAAACGTTTTGAAATTCTTCAATATCAGTCGACACGAAAGTGGAACATATGCTTGCAACGTTGAAAATAATATGAAGAGATCAATTGGCAAAACGCAAGTAGGGGAAAATAAATCACAAATAAAATTGAACATATTATGTAAGTAAGAAATTTTACACTCTTATTAATTAATAAGAGGATACCGGAATGTCTGGATATATAATCTGGAAGACGTTCTAAATTGAAATTACTAATAAGTCTATTGATACTGAACTTAATAACATATATCATCGCCCACAAGTGATCTTTCTACTTTATTCTGGTCTTACTGCATTTTTCATTTTATTTCTTTTAGAGAAAATTCATGATTTGCTACATTTTATTTCTTTGCATACAAATATCTTTCTCCATGAAAAAAACTTTGCTTATTAATTGCAAACCAGTTTAACCGGGGTACTTTAGATAACTTTCAATCCGTCTTCTCCGTCACAAAAATATATCTCGCATTAAATCACTGAAAATAATATTATGAAATCTGAATATATGAAGTCGGTTTTTGGATATATGCATGTCTTTGTCTCTCTAC